CTGATTTCTCTTCACAGATGCTGTCAGACCTGCTGAGCTTTTCCAGCAATTTCTGTTTTTGTGTCAATCTTAATATATGTGCTCAAATTTCTGAAGTGGGACTTGATCATAGGACCACCTGACTCAAAGGTGAGAATTCTTTCAATTGAAGCAGAAGGGACTTAATTCTTCACCCATGAACCCAAACATTGAGAGTCAGTAGAGTATTTGTCCATGGCAGATAACACAGCCAACCATAATTCTATTCTCACTCAACGTCTATGTGAGTACATTTTCAGACATGACAATCAGGAATAACAATTGTAGATTTCTTTTTGCATGATATACTGATATCTGTTACACATCCCCAGGCAGGTCCTGCATTTTACCGAAATGACAATCACACTAGTAGCCTTAATGGGAACATCAAAGACAAATCTCAGGGGGACTGTGGCAGAAGAGAGTTGGGAGGAAATCGGGGGAGAGAATTACAATGACCGCAGAGTCAGAAGGGCAATCTTAAATTTCTAACTGTTGAATACACTTTGACAGCCCTACGGGCCATTTAGGAATTCTGAGTGGAGAAGGTCTGAATCCTACTCTAATTGTTGCCAATCTCAGGAAAGATACTAAAACTAAATTTAGACTACTAGTTTCAATACATAGTGGGCTTAAATAAGAATTTTAGACTGTCACTGGTAACATCTAAAAAGAAAATCCTAGTGAATTTAGCAGTGGTCCAGACTCATATAGATTGGGTACAGATTGCCTCACAGCTATTTGGTCATTGCTACTTGTCCCAGAATCTCAACTCCTCTATCATCCCTTCAGAATCCATATCCTGGACCAAGCCTTGGGCTGCTCCATCTAATGTCATCACCTGGGCACAATGAAAAGTCATATTTGATAATGCGTTTGTGAAAGACAGCTAGAGTGACTCAGTGGGCGGACACTTATCTCTGAGCCAGAAGGCCCCAGGTTCAAGTCCCACGCCAGGACTTTTGGCTTTCAGTGGGACCGCCATGCTCAATGCTGCGTTCCTCGACCAGACACTTACCCACCCTTACCCAAACCTGCAAGCAAACCCATTAAGAGAAAGTAGGAACTGCAGATGCTGGAGAATCTGAGATAACAAGGTGTAAAGCTGGATGAACACAGCAGGCCAAGCAGCATCAGAGAAGCAGGAAAGCTGACGTTTTGGGCCTAGACCCTCCTTTGTTATCTCTTGTTAATCTCTTATAGCAAACCCATTAAGGTGGATTGTCATGCTCCCCGCACAGCAAGAATCCCACCTGCTGTTCTTAAAGCCCGTTTACTTAACTGGCACTGGGGCAAGAAAGTAGCCCATAAGCCTTCATAATAACATGGACTTTATTTGGGGGTTTCTGGAAGCAAGGTTTGCTGATATGCCATCAAACGCTCCTGGGATACAGTGCAGAAGATTCACCCATCCTCACAGCATGGACTTGCCAAGCTGATCTCCTTTGGACCAAAACAGGAGCTATGGAGAATATTGGGAGTGGTAATGGATAAGAGTTGGTCTCCCATCCATATCCCAGTGGTGGATTGAAAAAGATACAGGAGTTGGATACAAAGTAGCGGCTTAACGTCACAAACGGGGGGGGGGGGGGGGGGGTGCCGGTGATTGACAGCTGTCACTCACTTGCAACATGCCGCTGTCTCTCTGATACACTGAGACAAACTCCGATCGGCTCCACACGTACAGGCGGCCCGGAGAGCCCAGCAGCCGCACGCCTCCACGGGCTGGCCCCGAGCCCAACTTCACGGGGTCCAGGTAGCGGACAGCTTTGGTCCGACACGCCGCCATCTCTCCAAAGTCCCGTAATCAGAGCGCCGCAGCCAATCCGAGCGAGACGCTCTACGGAGCGCCATGAAGATCAAACCAGGCTGGCCTTGTCTACTGCCACAAAACCCCGGGGAAGTCGATCCAAGTGTTAAAAAGAGGAAGGGTCCCCGAACCCGAAACGTTAACTGTCACTCTTTTTCTTCACAGATGCTGCCAGACCTGCTGAGGTTTTCCAGCAACCTCTGTTTTTGTTCCAAGTGTTAAAAAGACTGGTCTCCAGTCCTGCCACTTCCTAAAATAAACTGCAATGTCGAAATGATCAGCAGAAACTGCTAAAGAAAAGCAGTGGAATTAATGTCACGGGATGGAATTGTCAGTTCTATAGAAATAACTTTTGACTTGAATTTCTCGCTTCTTGTCACAGTTCTTGACCGCCTGTGGTGGATGGGTTTTGAGCATTTTTCATATTTCTTATCGCTTATGATTTGATTTTATTTGAAGAAAAAGGAGATGGAAGAAACAAATTTGGGATATTTGGGGGGAATAAAACCGTGACTCACAAATTACAAGACTCCAGAGTCTTGTAAAGGTATTTCTAATGTATTTCTATTTTAAAATAAAATTTTACGATTGAGTGACGTCCATATTACTAAAGTGGTGCCAGTTATAAAACCGCCCAAAAAGTTTTCTTTTTCTTTTATTTCCCCCCCTCCCCACACCCATAAGTTTAAAAGTTTATTCTTTAAAAGTATGCTGATGGTGATGAAAGTGTACCTTGCCAACCAGGGGCAAAACTCAAAAGGAGGCATAAGGAGGGGGGAAGTGTTGGGTATTCTAAAAGGCATTAGGGTGGACAAGTCCCCAGGTCCGGATGGGATCTATCCCAGGTTACTGAGGGAAGCGAGAGAGGAAATAGCTGGGGCCTTAACAGATATCTTTGCAGCATCCTTGAGCACGGGTGAGGTCCCGGAGGACTGGAGAATTGCTAAAGTTGTCCCCTTGTTTAAGAAGGGTAGCAAGGATAATCCAGGTAATTATAGACCGGTGAGCCTGACGTCAGTGGTGGGGAAGCTGCTGGAGAAAATACTGAGGGATATTTACATTTGGAAGAAAATGGGCTTATTAGTGATAGGCAGCATGGTTTTGTGCAGGGAAGATCATGTCTTACCAACTTGATAGAATTCTTTGAGGAAGTGACAAAGTTGATAGATGAGGGAAGGGCTGTGGATGTCATATACATGGACATCAGTAAGGCATTTGATAAGGTTCCCCATGGTAGGCTGATGGAGAAAGTGAAGTCGCATGGGGTCCAGGGTGTACTAGCTAGATGGATAGAGAACTGGCTGGGCAACAGGAGACGGAGAGTTGTAGTGGAAGGGAGTTTCTCAAAATGGAGAACTGTGACCAGTGGTGTTCCACAGGGATCCGTGTTAGGACCACTGTTGTTTGTGATATATATAAATGATCTGGAGGAAAGTATAGATGGTCTGATTAGCAAGTTTGCAGATGACACTAAGATTGGTGGAGTAGCAGATAGTGAAGGGGACTGTCGGAGAATGCAGCAGAATATAGATAGATTGGAGAGTTGGGTGGAGAAATGGCAGATGGAGTTCAATCCAGGCAAATACGAGGTGATGCATTTTGAAAGATCCTGTTCAAGAGCGAACTATACGGTAAATGGAAAAGCCCTGGGGAAAATTGATGCACAGAGAGATATGGGTGTTCAGGTCCATTATACCTTGAAGGTGGCAACGCAAGTCGATAGAGTGGTCAAGAAGGCATACGGCATGCTTTCATTCATCAGATGAGCCATTGTGTACAAGAGTTGGCAGGTCATGTTACAGTTGCATAGGACTTTCGTTCGACCACATTTGGAATACTGCGTACAGTTCTGGTTGCCACATTATCAAAAGGATGTGGATGTTTTGGAGAGGGTTCAGAGGAGGTTCACCAGGATGTTGCCTGGTATGGAGGGCGCTAGCCTTGAAGAGAGGTTGAGTAGATTAGGATTATTTACATTAGAAAGACGAAGGTTGAGGGGGGACCTGATTGAGGGCTACAAAATCATGAGAGGTATAGACAGGGTGGATAGCAAGAAGCTTTTTCCCAGAGTGGGGGACTCAATTACTAGGGGTCACGATTTCAAGGTGAGAGGAGATATGCATGGAAAGTTCTTTACACAGAGGGTGGTGGGTGCCTGGAATGCATTGCCAGCAGAGGTGGTAGAGGCGGGCACGATAGCGTCATTTAAGATGTATCTAGACAGATACACGAATGGGCAGGGAGCAGAAGGATACAGATTCTTGGAAAATAGGCGACAGGTTTAGATAGAGGATCTGGATCGGCACAGGCTTGGAAGGCCGAAGGGCCTGTTCCTGTGCTGTAATTTTCTTTGTTCTTTGAGGCAACAACTTCTTCGTGCCAAAACATAAGTTTTTTTTCCCGATCTTTATCCACTAAATTTCTGGATGAAACGCTCTGTTTGATGCATTGCTGGGCTGTTTTCAAACCTCAGGTACATAATTGATTGGAGTGGTGAATATGTATGAAGTTAGGCAGACTAGTTCCATAAATTCAAAGAGCTGTGCACAATTGGTTGTAAAGTGGAGCAGTAAGAAGGTCCCAGTGCTTTTCTGTCTGAATTTGCTGGATTTTGTCTTCCAAATCATTCTCCACAGGAAATTACATGGGAAGGGTGCCATAGGACGGAAATTAGGTAATTGAGGAGTGGACGAGATTGTCATGGTGAGAACCTCCTTTGAAGTGCTGACGGGGAGAGGTAGTGGCAGAAATGGCAGAGAATAATCCTTCGAATGTGGAACACAAATAGAAATTGTTGGAGAAACTCAGCAGGTCTGGCAGCATCTCTGGAGAGAAAACAGAGTTAATGTTTTGAGTCCAGTGACGGCAATTTCAGTTTTTTTTGTTTCGGATTTCCAGTACCTGCAGTTTCTTTGTTTTATCTTCGAATGTGGAGCCTGATGGTGTTGCAATGCAAGGACAAAGTAAACCTTTCATGGTTCTGGGAGGGCAGTGATTTAGTGAGAGTGTAGAAATGGGTCCAGCATAGTTGGGGCCCTGTCAATCACATTGGGAGAACAGGTAGAATCCTCAATTATGATAGAAGGATAGATATATCAGAACAGTATGTGGTTGCACTACATCAGAACAAATGTAGATTGAGAAACTGAGAGAATGGAATTAAGACCTTACAACAGGCAGGGTGTGAAGAAGTGTAATCACTTCCAGTGTCACTGTATCTTTCCTTAGATAAGGGGCCCAAATCTATTCACAGTATTCAAGGAGTGGTCTAACTAGTACCCTTTAGAGATTTAGCAAAACTTCCCTGCCTTTTATATTCCATTCTATTTGAAATAAAGGCCAACATTCCATTTTCCTTCCCATTACCCACAAGTTAGATGCTGGCTTTTTGTGATTCATGTGCGAGGACTCCCAAATCCCTCTGTTCTGTAGCTTTCTCTATTTAAATAATATTCAGCTCCTCTATTCTTCCTACCAAAATGCATAACCTCTTTTCTCTGCATCATATTCCATCTGTCAAGTTTTTATCTGCTCATTTATTCTGTCTACACCCCTCTGTCAACTCTGTATATTCCTCGCCACTTACCTTCCTGCATATTTTTATGTCATCAACAAACTTGGCTTTTTTTTATTCACTTCCCTCAATCAAGTCATTACATATACAGTAAATAATTGTGGCTCTGGCACTGATCCCTGTGGCACACCACTAGCTACAGGTTGTCTTGCTGAAAATGCCCACTTATGTCAACTGTCTGTCTTCTATTAGTTAGCCAATCCTCGATATGCTAATATATTACTTCCAACACCATGGGCTTTTATTAAGTAGCATAATGTTTGTTACCTTATCAAATGCCTTCTGAAGATCCAAATATTTTACATCTACTGCTTCCCTTTTATCTATCCTGCTTGCTACGTCCTCAAAGAATTCTAGTAAATTTGTTAGGCATGATTCTCCCTTCATGAAGCTATGCTGACTTTGATGATGTTATGCAAGGCTAAGTGCTCTTATGATAGTCTCTAACATTTTCCCAATAACAGAGCACTTTTTTCTTAGCCCTGCGCAATATAGCGGAGGAAGACGGCAGCAGGGACACAGGGAGACCGAGTAAATGTTGGAGGAGGGGAAATTCAGTGGTGGCGACAGCAACGCCAGGTCAAGATAGACGCAGCTTCACCCCAGCCCGAGGTCTCCCAGGAAGTAAGGAGCAGATCCCAGGCTTAATCCCCCAATCCAGACTCTTAGGCTGAGCCAGGGCTCCGGGTCAATGGCTTAGTCCGGCTGCCTGATGGCAGAGGCAGTGATGGCAGTGAGTTTAGTCCTAGCTCAGGATCCTGCGGCACTGGTGGAGGCTGCTTCACTTAGGCCAGCCCAACTTGAGCTCAGTGGCTGCATTGGTGAGAGCGAGGTGGCATCAGAAAATGGCAACTCTTTGTTCTAGTGGCAGTTGCGCAGTGAAACGTGGTTGCAGCAGTGCCATCAGGGTACCAGCACACGGGTTGATGGAGCCCAGATCCAGGCCCATGGCTGAGCTAGAAGTGGGAGCTTTCCACTTTATTGAGAAAAGCCTATAAGATTTACTTTACTTTTTATTTTTCTTGCTTTGCATTCCATGTTTTGCTTTACTATCTGTGTTTTGAGATGGGCTGGAGAGTGCGACACTAAACAACGCTCTTCACAATGTTTGTAATAAATATATGTGATAATAAATAAATCAAATGAAATAAATCATATCAAATCAAATAAAGGTGTTACTTTAACAGTTTTCCGGAACTTTTCCAGAATCTAAGAATTCCTGGAAGATTAATACCAATGCATCCACTATCTCTGTAGCTAGTTCTTTTAAAAACCTAGAAAGCATCCAATCAGGTCATACAGACATATCAGTCTTTAGCTCCTTTAGTTTCCCTAGTGCTTTTTCTCTAGTGATAGTTATTGTACTTATTTTACGCCCTTTGAATATTTAGTAATTTTGGGATGCTATTAGTGCCTTCTTCTGTGAAGGCTGATTCAGTGTTTGTTTAACTCCTCTGACCTTTCCTGGTTCCGCCTTTTTATTTCCCCTGCTTTATTCACTAAGGGGCTCATGTTCACTTTGGCTTCTGTCTTCTTTTTATACATTTAAAGAAGCCCTTTACATCTGTACAGAGT